CACACACACACACACACACACACACACACACACACACACACACACACACAAAGAATGCCTGTTGCTGACTTAGCAGTTAAAAAAAAACTATTCATTGGCAATTTTATTTTCAAGTTCTATTTATGATGAAATAAGTTATAGCATGGTTTATTACATTTATTAGAATAATTAAAATATGAGAATAGCACCTGCACTGCCATGTGCCCACAAAGTTTGTATCTGATAATTCCAAAATTTATATAACACTATGCTCTGCTCTATGTAGTTCTCTGATTATATTTTTATACTTAAAGTTTTTGTATATTTCAGATTGAGTATTTGGGGACAGCTTGCTACTTTAGTTTTCTACGTCTATCTACAATAGCAGTTATATGTAATAATTTCCAATGGACTGAAATTTATCACACAAAATATTTGACTAAGAGAAGAGAGACAGATTTTACTAATTTTATTCAATCCCCTCTTTCCTGACACAAATGAAAAGTTGGGGAGCAAGGATGCTCCAGTAAGGCACCTTAACTGGCTCAGCTTCACTAGATGTGGAAGGAGATGTGGACCGTGACTGGCTGTAAAACTTGTCGCTCGGGTTCCATATATATGTGTTCTCAACGGGATCAGTCTAGGAAAATAAGTAAGGAAAAACAAAAACCCAAGAAATCACTTTTAAACAATATGCAGCTCTTAGAAAAATTTCTGTAAGGCATGATCATGAAAAACATTTCTTGAGAAAGGAAGGTGACAAATTTTCGTTTTAATATTCACGTTAGGGGATGCGTCATTATACAAAGCATAGCCACTAGCTTTAATGTAAACAAGGATTAAGATAACAGTAGTTAACCAAGGTTCCTCCCCCAGTCTTCACCAATGATCTCTTACTTTGAGCACTGGTCCTACTGTGTGTCCTATTATTTGTATTCCACATGGAACTTTTGTATTCCACAAAATAAATCATACATTGAAATAATTGCAGAGTGCTTAATACAGATAATATACTGCAGATCTGAGATAATTTTGCCCTTGAAAAGAATAAAATTTGGTCTTTTACTAGTCATTAATTGAAAATAAAAGAAACTAACCTATCAGCTTTGTTTTGGTCACTAAAGTAAATGCCTTTTTTATTTGACAGCAGTATTACTAAACTTATTAGAAAAATTAAAATATGAGAATAGTATCTGCACTACCATGTGCCTACAAAGTTTGCACCCGATAATTCCATTTATATAACTCTATCCTATGTATTCAGCAGCAACTTTTTAAAACAGTTGTTTATAGAAATTAAAAATGCTTTGGGTTAAAATTTAGCATGAAAAATCTTAAACACCACACTGACTATTCAGTTTGGCAATTTCAAAATTACTAGAATGAAGTTTTTAAAATGAAAGGGTAATAAAGGCAATTTGGAAAGGAGGTGCAGGAACTCGCTTTGAATATGTGGTACAGCAAGAACACTAGTTAAATCAGACGTTACAAATCACAAAAAGAGCATCAACTTAAAGATCTCAACTATGAATTTAAATTTATTTTCCTTTGTTATTATCATGATTATATTTTAGTGGGAAGACATGATGATACATATAATGTATCCTTTAGAATGGCCACTGATGGAAGATTCAGATGCAGTTATAAGAATGTTTTGACAAAGTGTAATTATTAGAACAATTAATTAAAATAATGGTCCTTGCAATTGGAAGCAAGTGAACAAACAAAATTTCTTTCAAGTTCTGGGTCGAATGATAAGTGATTGAGAATAGAAATGCTTGAAAAGAAAGGTTCCCCTAGAAAGTAACTTTTCAGCTCTGTTTTCATCTCAACAGAACTCTGGACACATGGCTTCAATCTCTAAGGGCACAGATTTTCTCAAGCTGAGAATATCTGCCCAACTACAACTGATGTAGAGTACTGTTATGGGTTTTTATGTTGCATATTTAGCAAACAGTCAACTCCACACCGGACAAAGCGGCTCATGCCTGTAATCTCAGCACTTTAGAAGGTGGAGGCGAGAGGACTGCCTGAGCCCAGCCTGGAGTTTGAGATCAGCCTGGGCAACTTGGTGAGACCTCGTCTCTATAACAAATTTAAAAAATTAGCCAGGTGTGGTGGCCCGTGCTTGTAGTCCCAACTACATTGAAGGAGTGCCTGAACTCAGCAGGTCAAGGCTGCGATAGCCATGCTGCAGCTGGGGAACGGTGAAACTCTGACACTGACACTGACACACACACACACACACACACACATACAGGAGAAAAGAAAAAAGAAAATAGTCAACTTCTGTTCAAGAGGTGATTTTTAAAAAATGGGCAGGTGTGTGGGAGGGACAGTCGAGGAGGCTGGCAAACACTACTGGTGCCAACTATGGCTTCCCAGGGTGCTGGGCATGGGCAGGTATTCTGGTAACCCACAAAGCAAGGTTTTAGTGTGGCTGACCAACACAGCTACCACCAGGCCTTACACCTTCAGTTATTGGATTGGAAGAAGTGGGGGGAAAAAGGGGGTGTCTCAGTAAGGGCATCTAGGAAATTTGGATCAGCAGATATGTACCAACTGCTAGGAAAATTCAACATTTTAAAAACTGAAACTAGTTTTATGAAAGCTTACCAGGTGAACTTTAGCTCTGTATGTGCAATGTAGCTGAATTTATAAAACTAGCATGACTTGGGAAGCTGGAGAGCCAGGCCTGCACCTCATCCCTTGACTACAAATTCGGTACTCTTTTGTTCTACCAGAAGCATCTCCACAGCGTAGGTGCTCAGAGGAATTTAATAAACACGGTGGCTGAGTTATATTGTATCCTTTCCTGACAGTGAATTTTGAGCAAGAAAAGGAGAGTAAAAGAAGAAAATGGGACTCAAGACAAACTCTACTCACTTCACAATTTTATTCAGGGACAGCCATGGAGAAGGTAATCCCTTTAAATTATTAATCTGAAATATGACTCTGGGTTGGCAATTAAGGCAGAAGTATCTTCTACTTTCTAAAAATCTCCTTCTTCTAGTATCTAAAAGATAATATAAATTGCAAAAAATTAAGAGTCCATGGGGAAGGGGGTCCAGTTAAAATGGAATTGATAAACCAAGCAGAATTGATATAGTTTACACTTGTAAAAACTTAACACTGGCTGGGGCCAGGTTCAGTGGCTCAGCCTGTAATCCCAGCACTTTGGGAGGCCAAGGCAAGTGGACTGCTGAGTCTACGGGTTTAAGACCAGCCCAGGCAAGTTGGCGAGACCCCGTCTCTACAATAAAATAAAAAATAGCCAGGCATGGTAGCGCATGTCTGTAGTTCCGGCTACTCAGAAGGGTGAGGCGGAAGGATGGTCGGAGCCCAGCAGGTCGACACTGGGGTGGCTGTGGGCGTGTGTGCCACTGCACTCCAGCCTGGGTGAAGGTGTGAGACTCCAACTCAAAAAACAAACAAACAAAAACTGGCTGGGTTCAGTGGCTCACGTCTGTAATCCTAGCACTTTGGAAAGTCGAGGACGGAGAAGTGCTCGAGTGCAGGAGTTCAAGACCAGTCTAGGCAGCAAGAACTCTTCTCTACAAAAAATAAAAAAAATTAGCTGGACGTGGTAGTGTGGGCCTATAGTTCCAGCTACTAAAAAGACTGAGGTGAAAGGATCAACTGAGCCTAGGAGGTTGAGGCTGAGGTGAGCAGTGATCATGCCACTGCACTTCAGCCTGACAGAGTGAGACTCTGACTCAAAAAAATAAATAAAAACTTAAAATTGACTCAAATATCATCTTATAAAGTTGTATTTATTTATTTATTTTTAATTTTAAAGATGTGGGGTACAATTCAGGGCTAGGTATACAAATGTTCATTATGCAGGTACCCTTTTTGATGAAGTGTGCCCCTTCCCCCAATAAAGTTTTTAAAAAGTGTCCAAGAAGAGAATTTTCCATGTGTAAAAGACTAAGCCATTTTAAGGAAATTTAAAAGTTTCTGACTTGTCACAAAAGCCTCTAACCCTATGGCTTGACTGAAAGACACAAAATCATAAGTTCCTGTGGGAAATGTGATGCTGTGAATAAGACTGAATAGCTAGTCAACGGCTTTGTATCTCTGGGTGCAATTACTTCTGAAACTCTAAAAATGAGAAAGGCGAAAGCTTGCTGTTTCTAATAGCACTGGCTTAAATTTTATAGCAAGCCTGCTCTTTAAGCTAGGTAAACACAAGCTGATAGAAATTGAGCATACTGTTTTATACTTTTGCACCGAAATTAGAACACACTACCTTAAGCCATTCTGTCAGTCAGTACAAGATCTAATGGAAAGTTTACATCATGAAATCAGTGAACCTAAAAAGCAGCCTCAGAGCTGGTTGCTAAAAACATTTACCAGCATGTTTTATGACCTTATGGAAATGTGACACTATGAAAGTGAGAAAATGGGAAAATGAAAAATACACCATCAGTTAATCTGTGATTTCATATACTAGTGACTCAATAACTCTTGAGGTTTTTAACACACATCTGTTGGCTTTTCTGAAGAACTACTATCATTGATTAAAGTCTTTCTCTGTGACTCACTTTACCCAGGAATATAAATGAAAGAAAACAGAATCGAGAAAAGATTTTAAAGTGATTTTCTAAGCTGAATGAGGTAAAAGGTGGCTTTTACTTTTACTCAGAAGTAAAAAATAGTTACACTTAAAAAGATAAATCAATATTAATTATAACAAAATACCACAGTGAAAATTACCACACTAGCTTTTTAGAGCTGTATGCTCTTAAAATAAAAATCAATTTCAGATATTAAACAAAATCATGTTTTCTTTTCTAAATAATTAAAAATACATGAAAATGTCAAAAAAATATTTTGAGATGGTATTGAGCATATTAAAAACTTGAACTGTCATTTACAATGACAGCCTGAATGTTGAATTAAAAAAACATAACTATATAATTGAAGTTTTAAAATTACCATTTTACTTTCTCAGTGTGTTTCTCATAAAGACAAGGGACAAAGCATGGTGAAGAAGAGTATAAACGCAGGTCAAAAAAAGTTTTAAATATCAAACTTAACAATAAATTTCCAAGTCTCTTAAAAGAAGTCAATAACATTAACAGATTTTAATATTTCATTTCCTTTCTGAATTACTGTCTGTGTAAACAGTATCCTAAAAGTGGTGTAACAATAAAAATAAGTAAAACACAATTGCACATATTTTCTTTATTAAAGTTTTAATTATCACCAATCAGACTATGGTTCTCAAGATATTACTAATTTTAATTACAATTAAATGCTTATGATGCATTTATAATTAACAGCTTATTATAGCCACTAAGAAGCAATTAATTGTATTAAACTTTCAGAATGTGCAATGACTACATGCTAGAATTTAAAGATAGCTTACAATTTTTTTTTTTTTTTTTTAAGTCAGAGTCTCACTCTGTTGCTCAGGTTGTAGTGCAGTAGCACGCTAATGGCCACCACAGCCATGACCTCCTGGGCTCAGGTGCTCCTTCCACCTCAGCCTGCCAAGTAGCTGGAACCACAGGCGTGTGCCACTATGCACAGATGGCTAATTATTTATTTACTTATTTATTGTAGAGACAAGGTTTTGCCAAGTTGCCCAGGCTGTCTCAAACCCCTGGGCTTAGGCAATCCTCTCTCCTTGGT